CACCCATGACATGGAAAGGATGAAAGTTACATTAAATTATCTTTCAAATTTCTTGCAGCTCCAACATTCTGTGATTTATAAAACTGATCAAAATAACCCTTTTCTGTTTTATACTACATAGGATTGTTCACAAGTATCTCAAGTAAATTTTAGAAGGTCCAATGAGACAGGCAGCCTCATCTTTAAAATAAAGATGATGAAACCTAAATAAAGTAATTAAATACAATTCCACCAGCTACCTTGCTCCAACTATCTCAGCAACATAATAAAGCTTCAATGTTAATTTAACCACTTGATAACACAGTGTGTATATGGTAAAGTACTTAATAAAAGGGCCACCTCTTCACCAGTAAGTGATGAATGAAAAAATGATAAAATTATCCTGAGTTTTCCATTAAAGTTAATTCAATATAAAGGGCTATTTACCCTTTATTCTGTAACACTCTTACCTGTGAATCCAACTAATTACTTTCATAAAATGATGAGACAACAGTTGCTACTATTTTTTTTATATATTAAAAAATTGGCAGAATAAAAATTTTACAACTCTCTGTTATCTCTCCAACTTCCATTTAACAGCGGGGAGGAGGGCTACTGGTCATGAACCATCAAAATCTGGGATCAAATGAAATATGAAAAAGAACAATGGAATGAAGTCCAGCAGACGTGGGTTCCTGGGTCACTAAGTACCTTGGTCCAATTCTTCTAATCTGTAAAATCAGGAAATTACCCTAAGACTATATTCTCTAAATACCCCTAAAAGCACTGACTTTCAATGAGTCTCACCCTTACTATCTAAATACCGGCCTGTCATAAAACTACCAAATGGCAATGTTAGGATACAAACTTGGAGTACAAATAATAGAACCCTAAATCCCATTTAAAAACAAATCACACCACCCGGGGGTCCTTCGCCTTAGATGACTCAGGTTGCAGGTCACCTCCTTCGTAATCCCTCCCCACAGACCGTAGGCACTTTTACTCTTTGACAAACAGCTCCCGGAGGCGGTCCCATCCAGATTCCGGGGTATGGGGCTCTTGGACATAGGAAGGCAGCTTCCGGTCCTCCACAACAGCCTTGGAATCTGCAGCCACAGCTTCAGCAGCAAAGACCCGAGGGAAAGGACCCAGCGCCCTGTAGATGAAGGTCTGTGGCGCCGGCGGCCGCGCCTCCATGGCCTCTCCCAACCTGCTGGCAGACACACACTCGGGCGCTCAGGGCCCCAAAGCCCCCTGGAGGCGCCGTGGGAGGAGAGAGGATAACTACAAGAATGAGTGGCCGGCTTCCCGTACACTAGGCCGTAGTGTTCGAGGCCACACCGCTTAGGCACACTTGCCCTCAGTGCCGGTCGTCACTGTAGAAGCCCTTGGACTCACGAGACAGGAAGTCCCGCCCCAACAAGGGTAAAGGCCAAGGGGCTGAACGAGGGCGGAGCCGGAGCCGAAAACACTTCCGGTAGGGGACGGGAGGAACCTCAGCGGTGCCCGACCGCCGGAAGTGAGTTGGCGGCGACCAGCTAAGCTCAGAGCCGTCTGGCCCCGCCTCCGGCGCCGTTTCCCTGGGCATCCTGCGTCAGGCCGATTGGGGTCAGGCAGTTTCCAGAGGCCAGAGGTGGTCGTAGGCTGAAGTAGCTTAGCGTGTTTAAAACAACAGAAATCTCTTGTAGATTTAGAAACTGTAGTATTCAATACAAGCGGAGAACGGAAAGGAGAAGGCAACTTGCGCAAATGTAAGCCCAACCCACCCTGTCACAGCACGCGAAGCCTCCCGGACTGGGCGAAGTCCATTCTCGTGTCTAGAACGGACCGAGGCCATTGCAGATGCATCTTGGTGCCAGTTATCCCGAGATTTCCAGAACACTTTTGAAAAATCAGTTCTGCGTCTCACAATAAGAGTTTTACTTCCTTCAGTCCATATGCCTACAGTTTCTCAAAAGGCAGGACTTCTGGAAATTCTGCCAGTTGTTTGATAGTCCAGCAATAATTTCCCGTCACAACAGCCTCTACTAACATGCTTCAAGATAGTTTTTATCAAAATACACGCATTTAAAATATTCTCAGACTGGTTGGTGTAATTTCGTTTAATGTTTGCTAGCAACCATAGTCACATTCTCTTCGCCAATGCCTACCCATCCTTTATTCCTTTCTAGGTGTAATTCAAAATTGTTACATTCTGTAGTGAGGTGGGAAGCCCCATAAAAAGACCAGCAGGATCCTCAGGCAGGGCCACTACTCTCCTGCCAGCACCATCCAGTTCCCTGGCCCAGAGGCTCTATCTCACTTTTTGCCTCTGCAATGGCTTACTTACCCCTAAAATTCTATTGGTTCCCTGAGTTCACTTCTGATTGGTTATTTCCTTCACTCTTGATTGGTTATTTCTCTTACTCCTGATTGGTCCATTTCCCTCACTCCTGATTGGTTGTTTCTTTCCCTCCTGATTGGTCCATTTCTAGGCTTGTTCCTAATTAGTCAACTTTTGTTATACCTTATTTGCATATGATGTTGCAAAGTGTAAACTGGCAGCCTATAAAAGCCTGTGTAAACCTGCAGACAGGGTTTCAGAGCTTGGAGTGTTAACTCTTCTGGGGCCACTGGGGTAGTAAACCTGAGTTTTCCAACTCTTCAAGTGCTGCTTGGTATCTCCCCCAGATCTAGGTTGCTGTCACAACTGAGCTGCAACACATTTTTTCTGCAACAGTAGTAGGATACAGTAAATAGAGTTCTGGAATTTGATAGCTGGAATTCTATACATAAGGCCCAGAGGAGTGACTGATAGAGTGACTAGCTGAGTAAGTCACGGTGCCAGGAAGATGGTGTCTGGGAGACAGATTAGATGGCAGTTCCCATTACAGCAGTTACTACATTGCATCACGATTTCCTATTTGCTTTGTGTCTCAGTAGATTAACTCTGAGGTCAGAGACTGTGTCTATTCATTTCTGTATCTCCATTACCTACAGTGGCTGGCACATAGGTTGTTGAATGATCCTCTGACTCCCCCAGCTCCAGGTTGCTGTTTATCCCAGGCAGGCAGAGGTGGGCACCAGGATAAAGTCCCAAGGCCTGAAAGCCCAAGGAAATGGCTGTGCAGTCTGTCTTGTCTACATGTGGAAAATCTAAATACTTAAGGTGACCCAGAATCATTCTGGGATGCAGAGGACTTCGAATTGGAGAGCAGGAGTGTTGGGTGCATATTAACGAAATCATTTATATGCAAAACTCAAATGACCCCAGGATTCATTACCTTATAGATACAAATGAGGTTATGCTAATAGGCAAATTTCACTAACTCCATAGCTGCCTTCTCATTTGGGTAACTGAAGCCTCATGTGTAAGTTTCCCTTTGCCATCTGGTACCTCAGCAAGTCCCCAGACCCTAAGTGTTTGCCCACACTGTTGCTGCTATTCCATCTCAGCTCCTCAGACTACTTCTTTGTGACTCTCCCACTCTCCTGCTGCTCCAACCCCCCGAGGCTTACCTTCTTTTAATTTTTTTTTTTGGCAGGGGGAGGGAGGTAATTAGGCTATTTATTACTTTATTCATTTTCAGAGGAGGTAGGGGGACTGAACCCGGGACCTTGTGCATACTAAGCATACCCTCTACCACTTGAGCTATACCCTCCCTGCCACCTTCTTTTCCCACAATGGAAATACTCTCCCCTCCTCTGTGGTCTGCTTCTTTGAAGGGGCTCAGAGAAACACTAAACCAAAAGATGTGTGATTCACTTGGACCACTCTGTTTCACATACAGCTCACTCCTCCTCAGGATGCACATTTGCCACCAAAGTAAAGGCATCAGGGAAAAATTTCAGTGCAGTCACCACACTGTGCCTGGAACCACCATTAATCTACCTTCAGACCTTTTGCTGAGTTCTGCTCATAGAACCCAATAGCTTCTTCCTTCGTCATGAATTTTCTCCCAGGTGTCAAGAAGGTTCCCTTTCCCTGCTAGGTTCATCAGGTACTGCCCTTGCTACATCTATTACACTTTATTATACTATATATGTCATAAACTGTTACCACAGGTAGATAGAATGAATTTTGAGAGCTCCAAGGACCACTTCATTTACCCATCTCTCAAAGTGTAACTCAGTTTTTACCTCCGTGAAGTTTCCATCTGCACCAGATATAAATTTCTTCTTCCTCTAACCTTCAAATTCACATTGTCGTTATAAATAATTGTACTTCTGATTAAGGTCTCCTATCTCCTTAATCACCCTCTGCCTATGGAGCCTCTCTTATTGTTGTTTATCATCTCAAATAGAGAGCTCTTTCATGTTAGGGAGCCTGTTGTAAACATTTTTTTTTCTCCTACTGTTTGTGTACAGTAGATGCTCAAGAAGTATTTGATAAATATTAAATGAGTAATTTGTACCCTTCTGCTCCACCCACATCTTACCTCTGGATGCAGTAGGGTTATCTTAAGTGATGACATCTTTATATGGATGAAAAGATGGGTTTTTAGATATCTGTCTATGTTCTTGTCCACAGCCAGTGCAAGGGTGAAGGGTAGGGAACTAGCCTCTTTGGAACTGACCCAAAGGCACTCATTAAATTTTTTTCTCTTGGGAATCTTTGGCTGTGAGACAGAGACCGGCAGTCTCTGAAACTGCTCACAGCAACATACTAGAGACAGTCCAAACTTTTATTGAGATTCCTGGAGCTGCCCTGCTTTCTACCCTTCCAGCTGCTACAAAATTTGTTTAGATTCTCTGAGCTGCCCTCACATTCTTCTAAAAAGTTCTTTCTGCTTAAACCAGCTAGAGATGTTTTCTGTTCTTGGCACCTAGGAGAACCTGACATTAAGGTGGCACATTGCCAACATCACACAGATTATACTCCCCAGATAAAGAAAGGAAAAGCATTACTTGTGTTACCCAAGTATCCCACTTCACTAAATAAACTCAGTTATTCTCTTTCCTCAAAGAAAAGTGTCGCTTTTAGCTGAAGAAGAAAGGGTAAGTTTGGGACCCAGCTAGTGTAACAACAAACAACTACCACCTTCAAGTTATGGAGATAAAAATTATTTCAATACCATACATTTTACATATCATTACACACCATCTTCAGCATCTACACTGAGGCAAACAGATAAATGTAAAATCTGAATAACATTTGCTATATTTAAATACAAAAAGATGCCCTTATTGACTCTTCAGAGGGCAGGTAATAATTTGCATTGATCCAGTTCTTACAGTCTTGTCCAGTCCCCCTTGGAGCCAATGGCTGAGCAATCTATAAATAGGATCTAGTTAAGCCTGCTGTCTCCATTCATCCATCCACACATCCATCCATCCACCTACCCTTCCAACATCCTTCTGTGCATCCTTCTGTGTGAGGCACTGTGCTGGGTAATGGAGATATCAGGATGAGTAAAACATGATTCTCACTCATCAAGAAGCTCACAGAATAGCAGGAGAAACAGTCAAATACAGTGCAATGTGATGACATATAATAGAGGACATATAATGAGCAAAGTGTTATGATAGCCTCTAACTGCCAAGAGGAATGAAAACAAGGATTCTGAGAGAAGATGATGCTTGAGCTGGAACCTGAAGCAAAGTGGGAAACACTCCCAGGTAAACGCAGCTTCAGCTCCTAATCCAAAGGACGGAAAATTTTGCTCCTAGTTTAGTGAGAAGAAAATTAAAATAGAGTGGTAATCTCTCCGATGGCCTCCTATTGATACGGCAAAACTACAGTACAACTCAGAAATCTAGACTGCTTATCGCCGGACTTATAACACCAAAGGACATGGTCCCCATGGGTTTTTAATACTCAAATAAAAAATCTAACTTTAAACATCTGCCTTATTCCATGCAATGATCTTACCAGAAAGTCCTCTAAGAAGGTCCACAGGCTTAAAATTTTGTGAAAGGGAGTTTAAAAGGCCAAATACTTATTTCACAAATGGAATAAAGTCCCTGATTTTATATAACTGAATCTTACATTTACTAATTTTAAAACCAGTTAACACCAAAGAGTTCTTAAGAGGCAAAGGAAAAGAGCTGATTTCTCTGTGTGAAGTTTGTGCCTAAGGGATAAGGGCTGTTCTAAGTCATCAGACTATGTGGGTTTTAATCTAAATTGTTTTTTTCATTTTTTTACTACGTTACGGAGAACATCCTGAGAGATTAAACTACTATCCACGTGGCTTTTTCAAAAAGAGAAGAAAAGGAAAAGGAAGCACTCCAACATGGATGTGCACTAAAACCAATAATTCCTATATAGATTAAGTGCTAAAGTTGAATGCTCTAAACTCCTAACTTAACAACATTTCACATATGAAGACTCCTTGAGACACCTGCAAGAGTGGATGGCTGCCAGTTCATGGAGGAAAAATATTAAGGGTGTGTGAAGAATGAGGAAGAGTTGCTGTTTTATGCACAGTTCCTTTAAAGAGTAAGGACTACTTCCTAAATTCATTAAGAGGTTTTTATCTTTTTTTTGGAAACAGACTATAAAGAAGGGTGTGAAGGCACAAAAAGGGAACTTGAAATCCAATTGCAATAATTAATCATAAAATTGGCCCCTTTCTACGTGGCTTTATAGAAACCTCCTGAGTACCAAGGAGTTTATGCTTTACCAAAGAGAAATCCTATGTCACTGATGGCACAGCTACTGCTTCCTTAGACCTCTCAGGAATAATCACCAAGTATTTTTCACAAACCCTACAGGGCTTTCTACATTAACATACAGCAACACAGATCAAGTGTAGCATAACTGCAGAATTGCAGTGATGAGTTGTACTAGTTCCAAATAATCGATTTTCTGCTCCAAACAACAGGACAAAGGGCATCATCCCATGAACACACTCAGTTTCACAGTGACGGACATACACATGTGGATGATCTGAGGCACAAGCTGTGATTAGTCCTGAAACTGAAAGGCAGAATTGGGTTCAAAACCCGTATCTCATGATTTCTCATCCTATTCAGCCAAAGCATTGAGCCGCATCATATCTGTATTTAGATACATTTTGGATTTTTCTTGAAAGTTGCTCTTGGTTCGGCATGATAAGGAAAATCAGATATTTGACTTGGTAATAGTATCCAAGGATAGGTACCACACTCAAGAGTAAGCTTCTGACTGCAGGACGTCTGAGAGCCGCTGCCACGGAGAGGACTACAGTCCAATGATGACTACTAGAGTTCAGTTTTCAGAATTTTGGGGATAATCTGCTCATAGCCTTTCCTTCTTGTAACGTTATAGGAGAGCAATTTAGAATATTCAGTCAACAGGTTCTCCCAGTAACAGGTGACATCATCCATCTGCAAGTGATTCATAATAAACTGGCTTCCCCTAGAAACAAGATTAATAAGAAGATTTCAAGCATGGCATTTAATAATACTAGTAGCTTACACCTGAGTGCTTACCTTGTGCCAAGCACTGCTCAGAGTACTTTATGTAAATTAACTCTTTGATCCTCAAAACCAGCTCTACAGCCATCATAACCACACACAAGCACTTGGCAAAGAACACTTTTTTTTCTTCTTGAAAACAAATATGTAAACAGCCTATCCTCAGAAAAAGTACTTTAATTACTTCAAAGATTTCAGTCTAACTCTATAAAGAATGGGCGTGGGACATTTGTAAATGTGTGTTTTCCCCCAGGACAGCTTTAATTCTGATTATCTCTATAATGAGGATGAAATCCAGGTATCACCATGGTAACAACATTCATATGACTCAAGCTCAGACAAAACAGGGGTGATAAAATAAACTGGAAAAGGAAAAATGAATGGAACTTTACCTTTCAGCAATTTCTTGAGCTACATCATCATTTGCTTTTACAAACTGCAACAGCTCCCTAAAACGGAAAGAATTATTAGGCTCTGAAATACAGACCAAGCTCATTAGTACTAAGTTGGAGGGATCATAGATGGATGTCTGTAGTTAACCTCTAGATATGTGGATGGTGGATATTTCTTTCTAAAGACAATCTGTTATAGTTATGGAACATATTAGAGAAAATAGAAAAATATTCAATGATACACATCAAAAATCAATAGTGAAGAAAAACATTTCCCTCATATCTCCTGCTCTGGCCCCAGAAGAGGACACTGGGCTCACATTTCTCGCCTTCTCCTCTTCCTAGCTCCTTCTTCAGGAGAGGAAATTTGCCTCAGGCTTCCCTGAGGTCAATCTTCATGCTCTATCTGAAAGTCCCTTTGACCATATAACACAATCGAATATCCCCCCATCTTTGGACCTTGAGAGATTAGAGCTTTTTCACTGCATACTGTCTGAATGTTACATTTTGAATTGGCTTTAAAGCACTTTTAAAAATTAAATCCCACTCAGACTTACTGGATAACAATGCAATGTTATCTCTGAGAACTAAATGTAAAAAAAAACCCAAAGCTTTCAAAGGAAAAAGTCATTAGGAGTAAATGCCTTAAGTGGCTAGGGCCTTAGAGGCAGATTGAGGGAATCAGAAATTCTGCTTGGGGGAGAGCTGCTTACTGGACATTGGAGAGATCTGTTTTGACTGGGATATAGTGAACCCATGGCTTCAGCTGTGGATAGAAAAATTCCAGCCACTCATCACCAACATGGAAAACAAGTGAACCACACAGAAAGAGGTGTTTGAACCGGAAACTTGCAGCTACACCGCGGAAATTAAACAGATACCTGGAAAAGAAAGAGCAAAATATACTTGATAGTATATGCCTGTGTCATAAATATGCCCTTTTTTTTCTTATTCCTGCTTCCCCTTCTTTCTTTTTATAACGTATCTCCTTTCTTTACGTTTTCAGCTTTCAAGGACACATCAGCATGTCTCTAGAGTTTCCACGAACTCCTTGCTTTTAAGGGTTAGAGTTTGCTCCTAGGAATGCCAGGGTGAGGAGGAAAAGAGGGCTACTTTCTCCAGGCAGAGACAGATCAGGCCAGCAGTTCGGGGCTGGGTAGAGCAGACACCAGGCTCAGATGGAAACAATACCTCACCCTTTGCTACAAGTTTTTCTAGGCCTAAAGTCTCTCTAACACATTATGGCCCCTCAAAGCCTTGTTTTTCCCATAAGGAACCTGTCTGGTCAAAGCATGCCCTGTTCCCTGTTCCCTCTTCCAAAGTCCAGAGAAGACAACCAGGCATACCTATCAACCTTCAAAGAAATGCCCTGTGTAAGAAAGCTGTCTTAGCAAAAAACATTTCCTTTTCAGCACTTCTCATGCATGTACCCTTGTCTCCAACCAGAGTGGCTTCTACGCTGTGGTTCCCACTGTGCAGTGTAATCGGCACTCATCTCTCTGAATCCTCCCACTGCCCTCCTCCTGACCTGGTTTTACCTGTTCATCAAATTCTTAGTCCTGGCATTTAAATATAATATTTTACTTACTTATGCTTTATTCATGCTGTACCTTACACTGTTTTTTATTAACCTAATAAATACTCGTTCTAACTTCAGCTCTTGGCTGGGTGGGGTGTGGAGACAGGGAACCCCATCCCTTTGACAACAAGCATGCACGCTCCATGGAAGCAGGGGCTGTGTTTCACTGTCTCTGCAGTTCCCACACAACTCAGGCTAGAACCCTGTGCACAGCAGGCTATCAGTAAACAACAGCTAAATGAATTAATGTGACTTTCCTAAACCCCAGCTGGGCCCAAGTATTAAAGTTCTCACCCAAAGTGAAGCTATTCCAAAAGCAACAGGGAAAACGGGAGAGTCAGGAATCCTGGAAATCTTACTTGTATTTGCAGTGATCCACAAGATGGACATCCTTAGCAGCTGGCTTTCCCAGGGTATCCTTTCAGTGAAAAGGAAATTAGTACCAGCAGTAGAAATATTTATTGAAGACCACTGTGCAGCAAGCATTGCTAAACATTTCATCAACGTGATCTCATTTACGTCTCATAATAAACAGACTGAGGAGGCATAATTATCCCATTATATATATATTATCCCCTTATATATATAGATGAAGAAGCCAAAGATTTGAGAAGTCAGGAGACTTGTTCAGGGTCGCATGGCCGTAAATAGAAGAGCTTGGGTTCTAACCTGGCTCTGTCTGATTTTACAGTTTAAGCTCCCCCGGAGCCTGGTGGATCCTCCTCTGAACTCAGAGGTCACAGCCTTCAGCACATTTCCCTCCGTGGAAATTATACCACACAGGAGGTTATAAATGTGGCTGGAGGGCTTCCAGGTATAGCCCACACACAAATTTTGTTGAGCTTGCGAAGTATTTAAAAATAAATATTCAAACCACTGCTAGCATTTATATAGGTGGTAGGATATTTCTTTCAAAAATCCAGATTTCCAACTTTTCTTGGGGAAAAAAAAAAAGGAAGATTTGACAAACTGAGTTCCTATTCCATTGGCAGCAATGACTGGACCTTCGGCAGTCTCTCCTGCTGCACTACTGCAACCCTGGGGGCATCTGAGTTTGAGACCCCCATCCATATTCCAGTCACCTTAGCAGACAGTAAAACTTGACGAGGGGAACAAGTCTAGTTTGCTTTTGCTGCCTCCCATAGTAGATGCTGTGCTGAATGGTTACACTTTTCATCTTTCTATTTTTTTTAATGAAGTTTCTTATACCTCATTTGCTGTTTGAATAAAACTATCACATAATAAATATATGCATCTTTACTTAGTATTTCTTAGTTTCAGTTTTTCTGACAATAAGTTAAAACATTTTTCCCATATCACCCTCTTATGGTATACGGACATTTCAGATGAGGACACTGATGACTTCAAGTTCTTTGTATAAGGCAAGAAGTCACAGACTTAAGAGGAGAGAGATGGACTCCAAACCAAAGAAGCAAGTCACTGCTGGTTTCACCTTGGAATCACATGGGGAATTTTAAGCAAATAAAGATGCCTGTACTCCATCCCCAGAGATTCTGACTCATTTGATTCATTTTCATGCTCTCTGGTTAGGTTGTATAGTCAGAGTAGAGAACCACTGGTTTAAACCCAGGATTGGCAAATTTTTAGCCTACAGGCCAAATCAGCCCACTCCTTGTTTTTGTGTGCCACCTGTAAATCAGGATTATTTCTACCTTGCAAGTGGCTGGAAAAAAAATCCAAAGGAGAATATTTTATGACATGGGAAAATTAAATGAAATTCAAATTTCAGTGTCATAAATAAAGTTTTATTGGAACACAGCCACGCTTATTCCTTCACATATTGTCTATGGCTGCTTTCACGCTGCAACAGCAGAGCCAAGTAACCACAGCCCAGACCTTAGGATCCGCAAAACCTAAAATATTTACCATCTGGCCCTTTACATAGAAAATTCGTGACCTCTGGTTTAAGCCTTCATTGTATAAAATACTAGTCATAACATGGGCCAGAAAAGCAATGTGAGTTTGAAAAAGGATAATTTACATATATGCTAATTTTAGCCCATGGACCCTTCTCTGTGTTCAACCCACCACCGAGAGGAAACCTAATCTGAAATTCTACCCAAGTGGCAATGTTCTTTAAATGAGAATGTTCACTGTTATAGTTCTATTCAGATGAATGGTGATTACTTTCATAGATTTCCAGGCTTGGTTTTTGGTGTATTCTGCATCAACAAGTTTGGGATTTTTCCGCGATAGAAGAATGAGAGGATCTCGTTCTGGACTTGTCCTACAAAAGAAACGCATGATGTAAAACTATGTGTCCCACACCATAATACTGTTCCCAATCTCTGAAAGATAAGCAGTACTCGGACCCAATGCAATGACGGCAATGACTGTACACACAGACAGACAACTCACTGGTACTGTAACAGGAGAGGAGGGGATACTAGATCCTACTGCACCTAGGTGGTCCTGGGCTGTTCCCCACTTTACCCTTCAGGGATGGGGAATATTTGGCCCTTCCTTGCTTGCATCTAGTCTTTAAGATTATGTTGTTCTGGTCACTACGGCCATATCCCAGGAAATGATTTAGAAGGTTCATGCAGCCTCTAATCACTGGTACTCATAGCTGTGTGACCAGGTAATCAGCACTCACCAAAATAGCTACATGACCTTTGTTGTGTGTGCTCTGTAAAGTCCAGCAAAATATTTAAATTAAAAAGAAAACAAAAGGGTTCTCAAACACCTGAAAACTATGTGTAGAAAAAGTCCTAGTTATGGTCCCAGTAGCAAATGGTCTTGACATCTGAGGGGTCAGGGACCCTCTGAGAATCTGTTGAGAATTGTGGACCCCCTCTATAGAAAAATGCACATATCCCCATAGAATTTCAAGGAAGTCCTAGAACCTTTAAGGCCACACATAGATTCCCAAGTTAAGAATCTGTGATCTGAAGATCTGAGAATCAAGAAGTTGGTAAGGAACCACAAGCAGTGGTTGTTGGGCTCATCTGCACCCTGAAGTCCACTGCCCAAGTGAAGAGAGGGTGTGACCTCTGACAAGGACGCACTGAGAAAACTGAAAAACTCTTCTCTCTTCAGCCTATTTGGTATTCATCTGTCCAACAGAAATTCCTTGTGCATCTACATGGCAGGAACTGTTCTCGGCACTGGGGAGAGGGAGCTGAACAACACAGACAGGGTCCTTCCACAGCCTTTTCCCTTTCCCTCTTTCTCTCTTTTTCCCTTGCTTCCCTCTCCATTTTCACTGGTTTCAGTCTGTGCTTCCACCACTATTTGGCAGCCACACGATCTGATGAAAAAGGCAGTGATGGTTCCTGCTCTGCTGTTAACTAGCAGTGACTATGGGCAAGATCATAAGCTACTCCTAGGAAACTGTAATCTCTTAGGTGAGGGAATCTCATGGTTCTGTTCAACATTATACAGTCAAAGTCCATCACATTCATGGCACTTTGTAAATATCTGTTGAATGACTGGACAGATGAACTTTATTCCTTTGAATTTCAGTTCAACTAAGAGTGATTTGGGGCAAATAATTTGAGTTCTTCTCTAGTCTAACATCCTGTGATTCTATGTTTATTTCTTAGTTATCTTAGCTTTCTCTTTGAACTAGAGTTCTTCCTGCCCTCAAAATTACTTATAGTTTACATACTAGCTAGAAGGATATCGTTTGTAAAATGTCAGAAAATATAATCACCTTGATCCTCGGAAGTATGCTGTGGAATTTTTCTTTTTCCATGGCCACTGGGCTGCTGACCTAAAAATAGACTTAATTAGTTTCTATGTTTCTTCCTTAACTATATAAGGAGGTTTTTGAACCATTAAGATTAGTTGAGACCTTTACATTTTTAAATAAGTCTGATCTAGGCTACTCAAAAGAAAAAGCTCTAAATAACATTATGTTCCCTTTTGTTATTACTTCATTTCTCTGGAGATGCTAGCTAGCTGTATCTACAAATCTACTGTTCAATTAATAACGTACCAATATTGAAAGACACGTTCCCAAAACTAAATGATATGTTTAGCTCTATTTAATTCAATACAATGAGGACTTCTTCCCCACTTTGAGTGCTATCGATAAAATTAATAGGCAAAGACAACTGCAGAAAATATCAGAAACTGAATTAAAGGCAAGAAAACAGATCATTCCTGACTTCATGTTTTAGATGCATAACATTTGTTTGATTTTGCAAAGCACCCTGGTATTCTCGAAACTTTACTAAGTGCTCCATAAAGACAAAGTCCTTGAAACTCAAGTCTCAGTGCCCATCACCACGACCAGCTTTCCTTGCTGAAACTGCTGAAACTCACAGATGCATCATTCTCAACTCACTTCATAGGAAACTTGCACAGAAGTTTGTGCAGCATCTTCCTCTGAAAAAGGAGGGAGTTGGACTGAACTGGAGGTAATGAGGGACTGGTGAGCATTTGTTCTAATGCAGAGACCCAGGACAGAAACTTTTCAGGTAGAGGTACTTTTCAGATACACTTAGTGGCAGGTGAAACCACTGCTCCATATTTTCCTGGCTTATCTTCTATTCCTTTCTTGCTGGATTATCTTTACCTGATTCTCTAGTCCAGCTATTTCTCACTCTGTCCCATACTCCCTCCCACCAAAATATAAACACTATAGCACCGGGTTTTTTTTGTTTGTTTTATGGTTTTTTATTTGTTTTATTTTTAATGAAAAAGTGATATATGGTTATTATATAAAATTCGAATGGAAAAGCATAAAATAATAGTAAAAAAAATCATCTGGAATCTCCCCACCTATAGACAACCACTTTTAACAGTTTAACACTTCAGTGGGGGAGGGTATAGCTCAAGTGGTAGAGTGCATGATTAGCATGCATGAGGTTCTGGGTTCAATCCCCAGTACCTCTTCTAAGAACAAATAAATAAATCTAATTACCTCCCCCCACCAAAAAATAAAGTATAAAAAATTTAAATAATTTTTAATTTAAATAATTAAAAATTTTAATAATTTAAAAAGGAAAAAAAAGTCAAAACAAAACAGAACAAAACAATTTAATGTTTCAGTGAAGAACTTTCTTCCAACCATCTCTCCACAGGACTGGTTCTCAACTGTGAATTCTGCAGGTGATTTTGCCCCTCTCCCCCAGGGGACATCTGGCCATGTTTGGAGACATTTTTGATTGTCACTACTGGGGGACTGCTACTGGCAGTTAGTGAGCAAAGGCCAGGGATACTGCTAGACATCCAACAGTGCATGGGACAGCCCCCTACTACAAAGAATGACCTACTCCCAAAAGTCAAAAGTATCGAGACTGAGAAACCTAGCTCTGTATAACAGAGATCATACCATGCGTGCTTCTAGGTAACATTCTCGCTGGGACATACTATAGATAATAATAAGAGCCAACACCTATATAGCACTTACTGTGTTCCAGGCACAGTTCTCAGTGCTTTATATACCTACTAACTCATTCTCACAACCTTATATGGTGGGTTTTGTTAGTCCTACTTTACTGCGGAGGCCCTTGAGAGGCTAAGCAATTTGCCTGGAGTCACACAGCCAAGAAGAGCCAGACTTTGAACCCAGAGTCCCTGTTGTTAAGCCCTATACTACCTCTACTTTCCACTCACGCACAGTATTCCATTTTATAGCCAGCTTATAATTCACTTCCTTCCTTATTGGTGGACTTTTAGGTAGTTTTTTACTTTTTGCCTTAAAAAAAAACACTGTAGTGAATATCCTTGTACATACATCTTTGCATACTTACCTAATTAACTTCTCAGGATAAAGTCTAGAAGTAAAATGGCTGGCTCAAATGATATACCCATTTTACATTTTGACATATATTGCCAAACTACTCAACAAAGAAATGCGTCAATTTATACTGACATGTTGAGTATAAATTTCCTTGGTACCTGGGAAAGCTGCACTTAATATACTCAGACTTGAACCAAGAATCATCTCTATTTTTTCCTCTCCCTCATTCTTCCTACCCAACTCCCCAGCCCTCAAAAGACCCATGTTAGGACATTGTCTCCAGGCAAGTACTAACAGCGGCCACCACAGCTTGGTGCTGCCCCCAGCCCTCCTTTATAATCCCACCCCTCCACCAACAGTAGAGTGAATTCTTTAAATCTACAGGGACACTGAAGTCTTCTACAGAGTGAAAAGTAAGTCAATGGGGGACAGACTTCCAAAAGATTATAAAAACAGAAAAATGCAGGTAGACATCAAGGCAGATAATCGAGCAGATAACTAAAGTTTCAAGGTAAGAAATGAAATCACAGGGACAGTGATTCTGCATGGAGGGCTCTAAAAAATCAAACAGCAACTCTGTAATCATGAATAAATTCAACTGAAGAATAAATGGTGAAGGTATCAAAAGAAACACATATTCACATATGATTAGATTTTAAAACATATTCTATCTCCCTTATGAAAACGAATATGTATATGTATATGCAAGACTGAGACACTGTGCTATACACCAGAAATTGACACATTTTAACTGACTGTACTTCAATTTAAAAAAAAATTCTATCTCCCTAAAAATTGCTTATTGATTTACAAGGGTCAAAATAGTAACTACACAGTGGAGAAACTTGATAGAACACCATGGCCAAGTGATCAAAATTAACATCTCTAATGAGAGGCAGATGGACACAAAATCACTTGTGTAGGCAATTCAAGCCAGCAATGAATAAACTGAATTTAACCATGAGGAAATAGACAAAATCATACTGCAGAACATTCTATAAAAAAAGTGGCCTATATCCTTCAAAATGTCAATGTCATGAAGAGAAAGACAGACTGAAGAGCTGTTACAGATTAAAGGAGATTAAAGAGACACGAAGACTAAATGGAACACGTGATGCTGGAATGAATCCTGTACTGGAGGGGGGATGTACCTTATAGGGCATGACTGGGACGATTAAGTGTTGAATTGATATTGTTTCCTGTGTTTGATAATTGCAGTGTGGTTATAAAAGAGAACACTCTTGCTCTTAAGAAATACACACTAAAGTATTAAGGGGTACAGGGTTATAAGATAAACAACATACTCTCAAGTAGTCCAGAAAATAAGAAATTATGCATATATTACATATGCAGCCTAAATGTCCATCAAAGGACATAAGGTAGTAAATTGTTATCCGATGGAATACCATGCAACTGTTTAAAACAATAAGGTCATTTCATATGTACTGACATCGAGAGATTTCTAAGACACTGATAAGTGGGGAAAAGTTACCTAGGTTAAACATATTTATAAATTTTTATAAGTATGCATAGGTTTCCCAAGCAGAAAAAAAGCTGTTTTTGAAGATTTTAAAAACAAAGTAGATATATAGCAGGTGGGAAAAGACCTACAAAAAGAAGGAAGGGTGTGAAAAGGGTATTTGCAAGTACCTTTAAAAAAAAAAAAAGGATTAGAAAACTAAGGCCAAGAATAACTTGGAGAAAAAAGTTAAAAGACATTTTTATTTTTTCTTCTCTCAAAATTGTGAGTATTAACTAACACTGTGACACTGCTGAGCTTACACCGTTTGATCAATAAATTCTAAGTTATTTTTTGGTTATTTCTCTTTTTTTGATCAGGGTCAAAGTGGTGATGGGTAGAATGAGGGAAAGGGGTGTTATCCCACATCTTTCGAAAAAAGTTTGAAACCATTTGTTCCCTTTTTATGGTTACTTCTGTTATTATGTTCAAAATCAAAAGCTACATAAGAAATAGTGGTCTCAATGTCTGGAGAACACAGGTAATGTTAACCAGTAAAGTGGAGAGGATAATGCACTTAGAAGTCTGAACTTTAGGCCTAAATTGGTTCCTGACCTTGACCAAGTAAGTCACTTAATTTCTCTGGGCCTTCACTCCCTCGTCCCTGAAATATAGAGTTGGACAAGAACAATTTCCAATTCTAGCTCTATAAAGTATGAGACCAAATTTTCTTAAAAAAATAATTTCCCAATTATACCTGCTGAATAATAGACTTGCTTCTTTACCCCGTGGGTCCAGCTGCCACTAAGGACCCTGGCCCTAAGTTTCTCCAGAGAGAGGATGTTCTCTTCAGCCCATTTAAATCTCCAGCCACACTTAGTACAGGTGATAGATATGTGTGGAAATAAAGTTGAATTAAATGATTGCTTTCTCTACATGTGAAAGAAGGCCTAGAAAGACTGTGTTTCTAGAAGTGTGCTAACCAGGTACCAATGCTGTTTGAATTGTTAATGAACATGTCGCTAGTTAAGAAATACCTCCAGTTTGATGACCCAGACAATCTGCATTCTGAAATGATGGCAGTATATAGTCAACAGGCCAAGGCAAGTTTCAGTTGTGAATCAGAGAGGATCTGGAATAAACTTGCACTTGAGATGCCTATGTGACACTTAAGCCCAGCCCAGCCACGCCTAAAGGACTTAGCTCTTCATTTAAGTACATGTATAATTCCTCCAAGTAATTTTCTATCTTTGATTTTTTTTCCCCCTAATTATAAAAGTAATTGATTTTTTTCCCCCTAATTATAAAAGTAATTCACTCTTATTTAGAGAATGTTAAAAGTACAGTAAAATTTAAAGAAGAAAAGAAAAGGCTTCTATAATCCCTCCCACAGAAACCCTACTGACACTTTAGGGTAGGAAGGTTCTTTTGCTCTTTCTCTCTATATATGTAAATATTTTTATACACGTACAGCACTGCTTATGCTATAAAGATTTTTTGTCTTTTATTTTTAACTTAACAGTTATTTTAAAGAAAATAATTGTTTATACTGTTTGTTTCAAGACAACTCACAAAAGAAGGATAAATAAAACCTCTCTAAAGGACCTACCTTAACAGATCTTCTCTGAAGAGGTCCCACCGTCCAAGACCAGTAGGATAAATTGGCCAAACAGCAGGTCCTCCTTCCCAAAATGTCCAAGCAGGATACATGATATCATGGTACTCTGATGTCTTCAACAGAAACAGAGAGGTTATTCTAAATCAGTCTTAGAGCAGAGGAAGAAGCAGCAGACTGCACTCATGCCACAGGATCTACATTGCCTACTATTACATTGCCAAAGATACATTTTCTCTAGTCTGCAAAGTCTAGACTCTAGACATTAAAAGGCAAAAATGACCATGGATTAAAATTCATGAGCTCAATGAATCCGAGTATGAAATCACACTAAAGGTCAACTTTCCCAGTTTCCCAAAGTTCTGTTTTTCTAGAGGACATACATTGTTGGAGTTTTTAGTTTAAGGAAATACACCCATTTCTGAATGATCACATAGCTCTCTCATCTTTTAACTGATATTACACTTGGAATGTATACAGTCTTACCAGTTCTGGGTTATTTCCTAAATGGGTCTTTTAAGAGCAAGACTTAGGAAATACAGTGTAATGGTTAAGAGTGTGGGTTCTTGAGAAAGATCATCTGACTCTACCTCTTTCCAACTCAAAGCAAGTTACTTAATCTTTCCATGTCTCCATTTCCTTCTCTTTGTAACAGGAGAAATAATAATGTTGATAATATCTAACAAGCTTGTTTCGACTATTAAACGAGTTAGTATATGTAAAAGCTTAGAACAGTGTCTGACACACAGTAAATACTCAATAAGTGTGAGTATTAACTAACACTGTGACACTGCTGAGCTTACACCGTTTGATCAATAAATTCTAAGTTATTTTTTGGTTATTTCTCTTTTTTTGATCAGGGTCAAAGTGGTGATGGGTAGAATGAGGGAAAGGGGTGTTATCCCACATCTTTCGAAAAAAGTTTGAAACCATTTTGTTCCCTTTTTATGGTTACTTCTGTTAAAATTCTGGCCACTGGCAAACCTCTAAGTCTACCATTTCTTCCACTGGAATTACATATGTAATATACTGTTTGCCTTCTTTCAAATATTTTAAAAATGGTATATGATTCATCAAGTACCTCAGGCATAATAACTGCTCAAAAGAAGATGCACAATTATTATACAGTTGACAGACCAAAATCCCTCCCTCGGAAACTAGGAGTCACTGGTTTAAAAAAAAAGGGGGGGGAAGTAAAGATGAAAGGAAAGTTAGTATACAGAGGGTCATACTTTATTATCCACAGACAAATAGATATCAACAAACACAAAGTCCTTACTGACTTACATGGGAGCCTCTATCTGTTCTTCTGGGAGATTTTCATGACAAACAACGGAACCAAGCACTTTTGAGAAATGAGGTTAACCATGGGAAATGCAACACAAATGTGGCCTCAGCCCACTTGCAACACAGGAAATAAACAAGTCTAGAGAGAAAGTAAACTGTGATAAAGAAAAAGTAGGGATAAAAAGTCCCTCTGCTTTGGAGAAATCAAGTCAGAAATGGAGTTCCTTTTCTCAAAGTCCATAGGGTTTTCCTAAACCCACTCTTCTCCCATAGAATCTTCCATCCACTCTCTTCCAGGCTCCTGTGCCCCCAAATGCTCTCCTGTTTAATCTTTAGGGAATGAAGGCCCATCCCTGCCAATACACCATTTGTGTGAACCTGAGCACCAAGATATTAACTGTCCTGAGTTCTCCAAACCCACAAGTTAGTACTCCTAGTACTCCTATCCGTCCCTAACTAGATGCAAAGATCATCCCCTCACATGCCTTTCTCGGGCATCTCAGGCCTGTCCCCTCAATGCACTGCTTGGGTGCAAATGGTGTGGGGTTATCTAGGACCTTCAGTCTTGCTGTTAGCCACGCTGGAATGCTGGCGTACAGTGGCAGAACAGATAATACCTAACACTATGGCTGATATACACATTGTAGCAGCTCAACAAGTATCTCTGAATGCAGGTGTTCCCTGACTTCAAGCCCATGAGCTTTCCTGGGCCACTGTCTCCCATGCTCTGTACAATCTCTGAACCCCATCTCCAATGTCCTACGGGTTCCTCAGGCCTCTCTCATTCCCTACCCTCCATCCCAGCCCTGTACACGCTTACGCTTTCATACTCATGTTACTTACAGGTCCTCATCCCTGTCTACTCAGTGTTACTGCTCTACTGCTGTGAAATTAACAGGGACACAGACCCACACCTGGACCTGAGGCTTCATTGTCACTACTACCCATCAGATGGCCATAGGACAGTCATCTCCTGCTTATACGCTAGAGGACCACCCTCTGTCCCTCATATGGCTCCTCCTGTACTTACCTTACTGAAGGAGAAGACTGGAATGGCAGGCTCCATCCATTTAGGAACCTGAGGATAATCTCGTACATTGATCACCATCTCCATGTCAGGGAGGCGCCCAATAACTTCCAAAATAAAGTGTTCAACACCACTACACCTGTCAACCAGAAATACCACAACTTCACCAGAGCAGTGCCTGCTCCAGGGCAAGGCAGGGTCCCACTGACCCTCTCAAAGTAAGACAAGCCAGTGTTCAGATCATCAGCCTCCTGCAAAGTCTTCTGAAAGCAAGGTTTCTGAAAGGACTGCTCTACCCTTTCATACTGTGCAAGTAATCTTTCGAGCAAAGCTGCTTCAGCTTACAATACTTAACTAACTTTCCAACAAGATCATCCTTTTTGCTAAGTTATTGCTACTCCTAATACTTCCTCTTCTTTATTCATTTCCAGTTTTTTCTTTATTTCTCCTACATGGAATAGTTTAATTAGTAAGCAAGATACAAATTTTGACAGGAACTAGAAAAGCTAATTTTCTTAATTGTGTCCCTTGGGCTTGCTTCTCACAGAGACATTTCTATTTCCACCATAATTAAGTCTCATAGTTTATGAGGAAAGATAAGAAACCTTTCATTACCTTCAACCTGAATACAGAACACTATCAAAATCAGTTTTGCAAGCCAGAAGGTGTGTTATGTACATAATCACAGATTATAATACAGCTTTCTGACTAACTTCCTGGGAATCCTCAGAGGATTTCTGGAAAGAAAGAGAGGATACACTGACAGCTTAGCTTTCTCACCCCATTCTTTGAGGTCCTGACCAGCATTATACTAGGGGCAATACTCTAATGCTGGACCAAAATTTTCTGGCAGCATGAAAACGGCTGATTTAAAATATTGATTTATATACAGGATGATAATTGCAAAAAATTGCATTGGTTCATAAACATATTAAAAGCTGGTCAACTGTACTACTAATAAAGAAGTGCCAAAGAAGCCAAACTTGTAAAAGCAGAGAATAAAATGGCGGTTACCAGGAGCTGGGAGTCAGCGGGTGGGGATCAGGACAGATGTTGTTTAAGGGTATAAACTTACAATGAGTAGTAAGTGTTAGAGATCTAATGCACAGTGTAGTGAATACAGACAACAGCATGGTATTATAATCATCAAACTTGCTATGAGTCTAGAACTGAATCACTCCTACTACTAAAAAGAGAGGATAATTAATTATGTAACATGATAGAGGTTCTAATTATTGCTACAATGGCAATCATATGAAAATAAATGTATCAAATTAACATGTTGTACATCTTAAATTTACAGATTATATGTCAAATATATTTCAATAAAAATAAAGTATCACCAAGACAAAAGAAAAATTCTAGTGAAGCTGGATGCCAGTTTTCATCTATCAGATTGTCAAAGATGCAAGAGTCTGATGATGACTCTTGTGTTGGTGAGGGTACAAGGCCTAGTCTGAGCATGTGATACAAGGGTGGTGGAAGTGTAAATAGGTACAGCCTCTCTGGAGAACAATTTGTTTCTATTTATCAAGACTTCAGAAACACATTAATTGGCCTATTAATTTTAATTCTAGGAGTTAAGCCTGCATGTATATTTATACGAGTGCTCAAAGGTGTTAAGTACAAGGATGTTCACTGCAGCATAGTTTACATTAGTCAAAAACCAAAGCGCAGTGGTGGGGAATAATTTAAGTGTCCATTGATAGAGGACTGAATAAAGAAATCCATACAATGACTTTTTATGCAACTATTAAAGGGTTCTGTATGTAATCCTATGGAACAATTTCAAAATCTACTGTCACATGGAAAAGAAAAGTTGGTTGCAGAACAGAAGATATAGTGTGTTCTAGCTTGTCGATGAATCTAGGTAACTGTATATGCAGAGACTACTTCTGGCAGGATATACGAGAAACTTGTAGTTGTCTCTTGAGAGGACTCAAGGACTAGTGGTTTGGGGGGTCTAAGGTGGTAGAGAAGCTTCCTTTGCACATGTTTTTGAGTTATCCAAATATTTTACCACGTGTATGGAGCACTCCTTTGATACTAAAAGAAAACAACTAATTGAAAAGTTAAAAAATATATTATTGCAGTATATTTATATATAACAGCTAAAACATGTTATTTTCTTTCACATTCAGCTTTTACAATAGCCTTCTCTCACATATTATATGATTGCATTTATATAAAACTCTAGGAAATAATCGGTTATGAGGGAAAGCATATCAGTGGATGCTTGAGGACGAGGGTGGGAGGAAGGCATGGCAGGGATGAGGGGACAGAGGGACTACAATAAGGCACAAAATAACTTTGGGTAGTGACAGATGTGTTCATTTTCTTGGTGTATATATATACATTAAAACTTGTCAAATTGTACACTATAAATATGTGCAGTTTGTGTCAACCATACCTCACTACGGCAATTATTTTTAAAAAATACCATTATTCTCCATCTTTGAAAGATGTGTCTCCAGTGTTAATTAGACAGTGTTCCAGTTTCTCAGCAAAATCTCTCAGCTTATCCTTGAAATGTTGAGTTTGTATTTTATTTTGTTCAGAACTGAAATTTTTTTAAATGGAAGGACTGGGGATTGAACCCAAGATCTTGAGCATGCTAAGCATGCACTCTACCACCAAGCTATTCCCCCCTGCCACCTTGAAACTGAATTTTTTAAATGTCATAGAGATTTCTCAAACTTGGTAAAAGTATCTAGACCTAGAAAGATACTATTTTTTGCCAGATGGGAATCTGAGGTATTACACAACTGTGTCCATTTCATTAAGGACACTGGTTCTGAATATTTCATTTTATTTCTTTTTTGTCCAACTCTGTTTTCCTTAGTTGTTTATGTAGTTGGCATAGGGAACTTTCAATGCATAAGAATTGCAGAGTATTTTATCGTCAATGAAAGGTCCTATGTTCTCTTAAGGACATTTCTAAAGAGCTTATGATTTTGACCAAAATGCTCTGAGGTCTGGAGTAAGAGCTGTGTGTCTTCTGGAAACTTTGAGAGTACTATTTAATTTGATCTGGAGATGGTCAGCTAACTATTAAACACTGGGTAAGCTTTCAAAGTCCAGTAATATCCACATTCATATTTTCTTTCTCATTTGTAGAAATCAGAAATTCTTTCATGCTCACAACTTGTACTTAAAGTCTCTATTATTGTCCCAAGTAACGAAACAAATGTTTGCTTAAAATACCTCAATGGTTTTCCCCACTACCACCTTATTTGACCCCTAAAACTTGATAACCAAAATTGTGATCACCTCAGAGTAGCGGAATGTTAAGTGATCTTTTTGGTTGTTGTTTTTACGTATTTTTGACAATGAAAATATATTCATTTGTAATAAAGTTGTTATTAAGAACAAACAATATAAATCCTTTTGTCCAAATGGAGGCATGCTTTTTGCAATACTGCTCATTTATTTTACTTTTAATGACATAATATTGTTTAGAGAAAAGATCTTAGTAAGGGAAAACCTGGCCTCTACATTTTGTACTTTGTGATTTTGTAAAGATTTGAGTTTTTTTTAAAAAGACTCCTAAAAGGAAAGTTTATCATTTGTTGTATATAATGCTGCCTAAGGCCAGCTTCCAGGCTCAGTCCGTGACCCTCTCTGCTCCCCGCAGCCCTCAGCCCACTGATAGGCGACCCCAGCTCTCACATCTAAAGCCCTGGTTGGTGTAGCCTCGTAATCTGCAGCCCCAGTTACTTCTCTTGCCTTTCCGCCACCTTTCTTTGAATGCTTGGTATGGAGAACAATAGTTGGCCCTCTGACAGACAGTCAGTCAATGCTTCTCGTCCTGCTTCAGCCCAGCTCACTCATGCTAGGTCTCATCAGCCTGTGTCCTGCAGCTACTCTATTTGGGAAAGGAGGAGAAGGGGCAGATCCAAAGCCAGTACAACCAGTGCTGTGCCCAAGCCTTACAAAGAGAGAGGAGACAGGCTTTGATAGAGGAGAAAGGAGGACATGAGTTGGCAAGAGAAATTCTCAGGCAAGAAGAAGAGCTTGTCACTATTTTGTAGTCCTGAAATGTGATGGAGGATTCACCTGTCTGTCCCTTTAATTGGATTCTCTACAGGAAGAGTATCACGTAAGCCCATACGTAATAAGGTCAGAAGATTCATGTACCTTATAGCTCTTACCTTGAGGGGAACATGCAGTCATTTTCTCGGTATAATCTGTTCTTAATGATCTGATAGTGGGTCCCTAGTTTCCGGCTGACTACCTCCGCCATCATCTTCCTGGAGATACCTCCTCGGAAAGGAGTCAGATCCTCTTCCATGACACTGGAAAGAATGGGAATTGTCAAGGAAAGCAGGCCAAGAAAGTGTTACCATTCCACCTACTCCCTATCTGTGGGTTTAGGTTTAGTATTAGAGGACAGAGTAAGCTAAGGGAAAGAATAGTGGGCAGGAATGAGCAACTTTTTCCCTGGAAGTAACACAGGTGATCTAAAATATCAACAACAACAAAGTCACAAAAAGGGAAAAGCAAGTCAATTTCCCTTCTTCCTCCTTCCATCTGGATTGCCCCTCCCTTCCCTGATGCATATTCTTCCTTTATTACTCAGACTACACCCATGTCCTCCCAGTCACAGCAGTCCCACTGGCCCCCTTTCTCTAAATCCCACAGAAGGTATGGTTCATGCCTGACACTGTGTGATTCCATGTTCTGGACCCTACCACCCCACATACTCTGGCAGCATGTATGACTGACAGCAGTAACCAGAAATTACACTGTTTCACATCCCTTTTAAAGTTCAGTACACAGCAAGTTTTCGGTAAGTATCATACGCATCAGGTGAAGTTTTTGAGGAGTCACAGGATAACATAATGAAGAGTTAAAGGACCCTGTTACTTAGCTGATGAGGAATCTGACACCCAGAGAAGTTAAGTGGCTTGGATCTGGGACTAGAACCCAGGGCTGACTTCAGAGTACTCTTCCTAGCATACCACATTCCAGTCCTAATTTGCATATTTTACCCCAAAAGGTAAAGACCCCGTTCTTGTCATACCCAAAAATAAATTTACAGTCCGAAATGGTGCATTGTGTAGTGAAAGATTTTAAAAGATTTATTTAAAAAAGGAAAAGTACACGTCCAAGAATAGGAGGCAGGCTGATCCAAGGGAGGAAAAGCAGCAGTTTTTGTCTCCCCTTTCTCTTATATCCCCGCTTAGAGGTGGTCTCGAGTGATTGACGGCTCCTCCCTGGAACGGTTAGTCATGTTTGGCCCCTCTGCACATGACCTTACCCATGGTGAATACAGAAAAACCCATACGGGGGGGCCTAAACTGCAATGTTAATTATAAAACAATGAACATTGGGTCATGTCCAGTTTAGTCCTTTATGCCACTGCACTGTCATGGCTGTCGGGTTTTAACCGGCTGTTTTTTTGCTGGCACTCACTTAGAAGAAGTAAAGTCCCTTTATGCTGGAGGTGGGCATAATGCCATTTTCCAGACCATCCTCCCTTTCCTCCACCTGTCTGCCTGGTGCCTCCACTTACCTAACTACCTAACACATACATTAAAGATAACCAACAGGAAACTTCTGATTCGATTCATCTAAATTCATTCCTTCAACAACATTTATTGAGTACTGACTGACAGCCAGCACCAAGGATACAACAGTGAATAAGACATAGGCCTGGACCTCAAGAAGCATTCTGTCCCGTGGGGAAATCAGACAAGTACATACACTAACATGTAATCCTGAGACCATCTGGCCTCTCCTATTCCAGGGCATTTTAATCCTCTACAAGTAAGGAAACCACCTCAGGGACCCTGTTTGCTCTCAAAACATGTTTGGCTCTCTGACCACTGCAACCAAGGTCTCTCAGGGATCTTAGGGGATTTCCTCCTGACCAGATTTAAATTCTTAAAGACATATCAAAGAAAAGAACTCACCCATGGTAGCAGCTGCAGTTTTGACTTGAACATGGTTCATAATTCTCCAAAGCCCTGTTAATTTGGTCAATATATACTTTCCATTTTGAACCTTCAAAAAGTGAAGTAAATGAAGGTTAACAAAATATCCCCGAGCACTCTTATTTGCTAGCAGCAGGCAGGCAGAACCAACAGAAGGCAAAACTTTTAGACAGCCACTTCCCAACCCACCGGTGGAAACAAGCCGCCAGAAAGGATTCATTCTATAGCTCCCCAGCATTCATGTCAAGTCTGCTCCTCTACTCAGGCTGCCAGGTATCCAAGAAATGGGAAAATTTCCAAGCTTAATGCCTGGAACTCAGAAGGTTATGGATAAACTGGTGAGTGACACGGATTCTCATCTTTTGCTAATCAAACTGAGTCCCATAAAGAGGATAGATTAAAACCCCTAGACATTAACCCTTCTTTCACTTCTTGCAATGGACTAAGGCAACCCCACCCCCGCCACACACACACACACACACACACACACACACACACACACCACA